AACAGCCGACACTGCTCCGTGACGTCACAAACCAGTAGGTGGCAGTAGTGTTCTTTGACAAACATGGATGTCTCCAGTAAAGCACATTCAAGTGAAAATTACTCTTAATTAAAAACACTTATCATTTATTGAACAGTATGTAATAATTTCATATTTAAAGTACCTTAAGAAGTTTGAATTCTGAATCTGAGCGACTTTTCCTTTAATTTCTCAGCTGTAACAATCCTGAGGGACCTGAATGCTCGTTCATTTTTGGATGGTTTTCCTCACTCCTCTAATAAAGAGCAAATGCTAACTAATTTTAGTAGAAACCATCAACGTGGGTATGTGATGCGTTGAGCCATTTATTTCTTCTTCATGATAAAAAGCTCCTCTGGTCTCATCATGGCTGCTAAATGACCTCATTAACAGAAGCAATGAGCCAGTCCACGTCAGGCTCTAGGTCCGTTTTGAACAGCTTTTCCCCCTCCTGCTGCCTGCTTTCTCCCATTAACACCTAACGTTTTGATGGGTTCCAGTCACCCAGGCCTCCAACGGTACCGATGACTCCCTGCTCCGAGCGTTCCATGGCGGCGGCCCGGCGGTCCAGCCCTCATCCATTCCCATTCTGAGTGCCTGCTTCAACAANGCGTTCCATGGCGGCGGCCCGGCGGTCCAGCCCTCATCCATTCCCATTCTGAGTGCCTGCTTCAACAAGCTGTTCTCCATGCTGCAGGTCCACCACGTGCAGGTAGCTTTCTGAGGGCTCATGGAGCCTCTGATTGGCTAAAGCTCCTGTTTGCGGTGGTCCCTTCAGAACGACCACCTGGAGGCGAAGCTTTGTCCATGCAGAGACTCATTTGATCCAATATTATTGAAAGCAGAGAAAATGTTTTTTAGAATTATTATCCTTTAAGATCTGATTGATGTTATTAAGTTTATTCTTATTTTTAAGTCAGAATGATTAACGGTTGCCGTGTGTCTCCGCTCTTCGCCCTCCTCTGCTCTCAGCTGGAGTCGCTGCTTCAGCTTTGGCTCACCCTTAGCCTCAACACCAGCTCCGCTGGTGGCGAAGACGGCGGCTCCGACGTCTTCCTGTTCAACGCCAGCAGAGTTCCCACCATTCCTCTAAACCAAGGTGGGTTCTGAAAACTGCTGCCGTCCCGTTAGCTCAGTTAGCTCAGGTTTCAGTGTGTCCTCCTCCTCCGCCCTCAGCCTCCATCAGCAGCTTCATATCCGTGCTGGCCTGGTACCCCAGCGCCTCCCTGAGGACCTGGTGCCTGGTGCTCCACTCACTCACGCTGATGACCAACATGCCGTCCTCCGGTAAGTGCCGCTCTAAAGTCTGCTGGTCGCCACGCTTACTGGTACCTGAGTGAAACCCTGTGCTTCTGCCCGCAGCCTCCGGCGGAGCCGCCAACCCTCAGGACAGCACGGCGCAGCAGATGGTGTCCGACCCCACCCTGGTTCACGTGCTGCTGCGCTTCCTGTCCAGCAGCAGCACCAACGGCACCAGCCAGCACAGCTCCCAGGTGGGGCCCACCGCCACCCAGGCCATGCACGAGTACCTGAGCCGCCTGCAGGTCCACCTGTCCTCCACCTGTCCCCAGATGTTCAGCGAGTTCCTGCTGAAGCTCATCCACATCCTGTCCACCGAGAGGTAAGCTCTGCCGTCCCTCCACCTGGAATCTAAAGCAGTCGGAGCCGTGTTTCTGAACAGCTGGGCGTCTCCTCAGGGGGCCGTTCCAGGCGGGTCAGGGTCCTCTGGACGCCCAGGTCAAGCTGCTAGAGTTCACGCTGGAGCAGAACTTCGAGGTGGTGTCGGTGGCCACCATCTCCTCCGTCATGGAGTCCATCACCTTCCTTGTTCACCACTACATCACCTGCTCTGACAAGGTGGTGTCCCGCAGCGGCTCGGACAGCTCGGTGGGTGCCAAGGCCTGCTTCGGCGGCCTCTTCGCCAACATCATCCGGCCCGGCGACGCCAAGGCCGTCTGTGGAGAAACCACGCGAGACCAGCTCATGTTCAACCTGCTCAAGCTGGTCAACGCGCTGGTGCAGCTCCCTCTCTCTGGGGACAGGGAGTTCAGCGGACGCCTGCCACCGGCCGGCGGTGGCGCTGCTGACAGCAGCGTGTCGGACGAAGAGAAGGTCTGCGGCAGCAAAGAGAGCACGGCGTCCAGCCAGGGTCCTCCCGCCGGTGTGGCCGACCTGGTGCTGGCCAATCAGCAGATAATGAGCCAGATCCTGTCGGCGTTGGGCCAGTGCAACAGCAGCGCCATGGCAATGATCATCGGTGAGACGGAGCGTGCGGCGCGGAAAGCAGGCCGAGGGCTATAAGATTCCTCTTACCTCCTTAACTCTCTCTCTGCTCCAGGTGCCAGCGGCCTCCATCTCACCAAGCACGAGAACTTCCACGGCGGCCTGGATGCCATCTCCGTGGGAGATGGCCTCTTTACCATCCTCACCACCCTGAGCAAGAGGGCCAGCTCCGTCCAGGTCATGCTGCAGCCCATTCTCACCTACATGGCCTGCGGCTACATGGGCAGACAGGTAGGAGCCGCCGCCTCCCTCTGACGTTTAATCGGCAGGAAGGTCCCTAAAGCGGCTGCTGTGTTTGATGCTAGGGGTCTCTGTCCACCTGCCAGCTGTCTGAGCCGCTGCTGTGGTTCATCCTGCGAGTCCTGGACACCAGCGAAGCTCTCAAGGCCTTCCATGACATGGGTGGGTGAGCTCCACGTCTCCTTCTGCTCCGCCTCTAGCATCTTAAAGCAGGAAATGGTTTATCTTTCGTCAACCCAACTGATTTGGAGGGATAAACTAAAATATATACAGCTGCATTTACATGGAATAATGTAGAGATATAGAACTACGTATTCTAGAGTATTGATCGGTCATTCAGGTCATAGTCATTCCAAAAAAGTAAAAAAAAACACAATCCACTGGACTTTGTTTCCAATTTTCTTCCCATCCAGGAAGATTTTTCAATTCAAAATGTCAGAAATAGTGTTGAGTTCCAGCTTTTATACAGCAGCCCAACAAAGCCTTGTTTTTGCTCAGAAAACATGCAAATAGAAACAGACAAACGGGTCCACCCCTTTGCAATGGGGGTCGTTTGACTTCTTTGTTAGCCTGCAATGCCACATACCTGTCTATGTCTCTGAAAGGGGGGTCGTTAGATGGATTTGTTGCCCTGGCTGAATAGGCGAGGTCTTCTGTTCCCCTGTAAAGGCTGTGATGATAGCGAGAACGAATCCAACTCAATCGCTGCATTGTAGGTTTTTTAAAGCTGAAATCTGAATCCACCTAAACTGTTTAAGGTTGGTTTTTCGTTCATAACATAAATGGCTTCCTTCACGCCCCTCTCAAACTACCCGTCTCCTTTGTTCAAAATGTGTCCAAGAATGTCCTTTGTCCATAAGGTCTAGATGTACTGCAGAGTCTTGTCCAGAGGAGGGCGCTCTTCTGTGTTGGGCTTTGCGTCTGTGGAGAGGTTGTTTGGTTTCTCCAATATAAAGATCAGAGCATTCCTCACTGCATTGAACTGGATTTGGTCTGAGTGTTTTGACCTTAGGATGCACTAGTCTCTGTTTAAGGGTCTGTTTGATTTGAAATGTACTGGGATTTTGTGTTTGGAGGAAATCCCTGATTTCTTCAGAGACTCCAGCAACATATGGGATGGGGCTGTTTTTTGCGTTTAATCTTCTGCTGCGTCTCTTTTGGATTTCCTTACTGATTTGACAAACGCCCAGATTGGGTATCCACAGATTGGAAGAACATCTTTGATGTGTTTCTGTTCGTGCTTCCCTTTGGTTTTAGTAGGTTTCAGGTATTACAGGCTAACAAAGAAACCAAACGACCCCCATTCCAAAGGGGTGGACCCTTTCGTTCGTTTCAATTTGCATGTTTTCTAAACAAAAGCAAGGCTTTGTTTTTGATGCACTGTATAAAGCTTATAAAGCTATTTCTGACATTTTGAATTAAAAAAGCCTCCTGGATGGGAAGTGAACAAAGTCCAGTGGATTGTTTAACTTTTTTTTGGAATTTTATTTTTAGATGTTTATATTTATCACTTTTGTTTTATCAACGATGCCTTTTACTTTACTGTTTTCATACTTTCTAGAACTAATTTTAGTTTTTACTTTTTTTGCAGCAGGATTCAAAACACTTCAGTTTTTGTATTTCTGAGTTAAGTACATGTAAATTAGAAAATAAAGAGCTTTAAGTGCAGCTGAATCCTTTTGTATCTCACAGCTCATAAAAACATAAGACGCACTCCGAAACAAACAGAAAATAGCTTTAATTAACCGTTTAACAAACGTCTGTTAGAGTTTTATTTATTTCGCTTAGCAGTTTTTTTTATTTTTCCATTAGTTTTAGTCCCTTAGAGACAGATGCATCCAGAGATCTGGATCTCTTGTTGCCATGGTGCCCTCTGGTGGCGTGAGGGAGCTTATGTGACCAAGTAGTGAAGTCCTCAGGCGTGCAGAGTTCACATCCCAACACACAACCCTGCTTGTCCTACGCTCCTCCCTCTGTCATCCCATTTCCTGACAGAACCCTTTCAGAATAAAAGCAGTATATATAATATATATAATTCAACTGGATTGGGAAAAAGTTTCAGTAATGAAACCTAACCCCCTGCCTTCCAGAGGATGTCTCTGGTTCCTAGTAAGTGGGAAGTGAGGAGTGGAGAAGCTGCCAAAGTTCTATTTGTCCAATCTTTGTCCCATTTCCACTTTTTGACCCGACTCTGGGATCTTTTTGGGGGGGTGAACTGGATGTTGGCAGCACCCGAAAGGATTTTTAAGGAGGAAAACTTGGACACCTTTGTTTTCCCTCTGCAGGTGGCGTTCAGTTGATCTGTAACAACATGGTGACGAGCACCAGAGCCATCGTGAACACGGCGCGCAGCATGGTGTCCACCATCATGAAGTTCTTGGACTCTGGTCCTGGAAAAACGGTGGACGGTAACCTGAAGGCCAGGGTGATGACCTCGGAGCCAGACAACGCTGAGGGACTCCACAACTTCGCTCCCTTAGGTACGGTCCAGGCCTTTCTCTGCTTCCTGGGTTCCTTTTTAATAAGCAGGTTTAACAAACTCTGACTCTAATCCTCAACTCTGATTTATCCTGAGATTGGAAACTGAGTTTTTAGTTTCATTAAAGCTGCTATGAATTAGTTAAACTCTAAGTAGAACCGCCCAGAGTTTAACACGTGCGTAACAAGTATGAAAAGCCATTATCAGTGGAGCCCCGATTCGACGAGTCAGCATGACAACAGGAAGTGCCTATTTCACCCCACTGGAACTAGAGATTTTAATGAAGAAATGAAATAACTAAAGAATTTGTATAAAACAAAAAGAAACAGCGCTACATCTGCAAAGGAGAGGAAGATGGAGAAGACTGTTGCTTGGGTTAATATGTACGTTTATATGAAGTCCTATATGGCAGGCAGTTTTTACATTTATTAAATACACTCTCTGTTGTTCCATTTGTAGATCACTAAAATAAGATTCTTCCTGATGAAAATCACACTCCTAGGCTGAGCATTTTTGCAGCAGAAACTGAATTTCACAAAATAAAAAGAAAACAAATTCTATTAGTTAAAATTAAGTTTTATATATCTAGAAATGTTTACGCATTTTAAGTGGCCGTTTTGACATAAATCAGCTTGACTGAAAATGTATTTGTGATATCTAAAAAACATTTCTTCATAGTCAAAATAAAACAAATGCTGACCAGTAACAAAAGGAATATTAAGATCTGAAATTAATTTATAGACATCAAGAATGTTTACTCTAGATGTGGAGAATGTCATTTTGTTTGAAACCATATTCAGTAAAACAAACACATATTGGACTTCGTGCAAGATGGCAGACGACACAGATGAGTATAGAGAATAGCTCTCCAAAGTCAGTGAACTAGAACTCCTCAAGCACATTCAAATGAAAATTACTCTAAACTAAAAAAATTATTATTTAAAGTACTTTCAGTAGTTGGAATTCCGAATATGACCGGACTTTTCCTTTAAAGCTCTGGTTCCTGCTAATGGCTATAAGCTAGCAAAGCTTCAGTGACATTTTCAGTAGGGCTCCAGAGAGGAGCTCTGATTGGCCAGGCCTGGTTCAGTCAGGAAGCGTCCGCTGCTCTGAACCTCATGGCAAGCTATTGAAACAGGGAGAATTACCCCATTTACAAACCGATCCATGCCGAGACCGGTCCGAGCTCGGATCAGTTAACCAGGCCGAGCTCGGTTCTGACGACCGTTTACACATCACGCTATCTCGGTTCCTGCCAGTATGGAAGGAGGAAATCAAGCAGTTGGTGGCGGTAATGCACCGAAAGTTGTTTGCCAACCGCCATAAAAACAAGAAGACGAAGAAGGAGGGAATCAAGCAAATCAAAATGGCGGAGCCCGTCACATTCAGAAAGTTAATCTTGATTATTATTGCTGTACTTCGGTGTTCTTACTTAAAATGCCTTTATTTAAAATGTTGCGTGGAGATTTCGATTGTTGTTTATAGTTGTTGTTCTTCTTCTGTTTTGTGTTGGTTGGCAAGCAACTTCCTGAGGGGCATTACCGCCAACTACTGGAATGGAGTGTGAATCAGGATGTGCAGCCAGATGGAGATGACGCGTTCTGCTCATGCGCTCTTGTTATCAGAGAACCGAGCCAGGGAAAAACCGAGCCGAGCCCACCTCTGGAACTGGTCTGCAGTTAGCTCGGTTTGGTTGTGTCAAGCTTGGTTCAGTTCAGTTTGCTTTCCATTTACACACAATAAGTTATCTCAGTTACTGAGCTCGGACCGGTCTCGGCCCGGTTTTTCAAGGGTAGTGTAAATGGGGTAAATGAA